GGCAGACTAGGCGGGAGTATACGCCAGTCGATGCTGCCAGGACGTCCAAGCACAAGCGCACAGTGAATGTCCCTGTCCGGTGTCAGCCGAGTCATGAATAGCCATCCTTGCCGTCCGGCAATTGCTCACCATGTCATGAGGACCATGTAAAGCTTTCTCCTCCGCTGAATCAGCCACATGTTCTCGAGCATATCGCCAGTGTCATCACTGGCCGGGGAAGGATCCAGGCTATCCCGGTGCATGCCAATCTCTTGAGCATCTCGAATAGCGCTGCCAATGGCATGCCACTGCACTCAGCATTAGCTTTTTGATAGCCTTTAGTTACGCACGGGAGTTCACCCACCGATTCCGTAACCTTGGCCATGTACTTGAGAAACGCAGCTCGAAGAAAGTCGGCCTGGACTGTTGTGAGAGTGATTTGCCGCTTACCAAGCAGTGACAAAATGCCAACGCCAGATTCACTGTAGTCAGCGGCAAGGTCCTCGAAGGTCATGTTCCCAGCATACTTGAGATGGTCGTAAAAGTCTTGCGACCCTTCCGGCAGAGTCAGCAAGGCCGTCGCCAATACCTGGAAGAGCAGCGCGGGAAAGACTCGCAGGTCGGGCGAGAGTGCCTGTGGTCCAGAGTTGGAGAGCACGCTAAAGGGAATGTTGGACCACTCGGCAAACTGTTCCTTGAAGAGGTCCTCCTCGAGAGCATAGTACTGGTGGTTGAACTCGTGGAAGTATACGTCGATGAGTTTTTCGATATAACCCTTTGCAGGCAGCTGTCTAATCAGCGACTTGTATCGTTCCTTGGTTGCGAACTGGTCTTCGACGTGGGCTGCGCCGCCGAGATGCGACAACTGGCCGTCGCCATTGGCGCTTTCGATTTTCCTCATCAGACCGAGCGTGGAAGCTCCAGCTTGAGAGTAGCCCCAATTCGCGGCGGCATTGGAGAGGCTCTGGACGTGTGTCGATCTTGCGCCTTCGCCGTCCGGCTTGCGATTGTCTTTTGCCGTGGGCGCACCCGTTTCGTACTTGCAAGCATCCTGTTTGTTGCGCGACTTGCAGTTGGCGCATGGGAGGTCTCGGTCGCACTGCGCACAGAAACTGTGTCAACTACAAATTGCAATGACGGGAGGGACAATTGCTGCGGGCAAGGCATAGCAAACCAACCTTTTGCTTCCGTCGGTGGCATTCCGTGCAAGAAATCACCACGCGCCTGCGCTTCTTGGGCGGCGGTCGGGCGTCTTGCGTCTGGTTCTGCAATTGGGTCGGTGTTTGAGTTGGACTTGTGCTCGAGTTCTGACCATCCCGCGCCGAGGGTGGTTTCTCGGAGCTGTTACGCCGGTCGTCGGCCATGGTCGGCCGTGCAAACGTGTGTGTATGCGTATATATACGGCGAATACTATGCAGCGGACGTGGTTGTTGGGAGGTCGTGTTCGTAAAGGCGCACTCGGGGAACGGCACGACGTTCTCGAATTGTCGGCGCCGTCGCCGCCTCGGGGATTGGTTGTGTCAGTGGTTCAGGGTATTCGGTCCGCAAAGTGGGAGCCGCCTGGATTCGCCGCGAGCTCGGCACGTGGGTTGATGGAGTTGGCTGGGCGTCTGAGTATTCTTCGTTGAGTAGCGCAGGCAGGCGCAAGGCCTGGAATGGTACAGGAGAGAGGCGGGACAAGCAAGAAAACCCGGTGAATGTTGATCTCGGCCGTGGTTCCTCGCGGTGACAGCTCTCGGAAGAGATGGAGGAAGGGATGGACGATTACGGAAGCAGAATCGGTGGAAAAAGTTGGAAAACAGGACCCGCCCAAGATCAACCTGTGACTCTCGTCGGCGAGCGAAGCAGATGTCGCCTCACACTGGGGCACTGTGTGGAAGAGAGCGGAACCTGGTAATCGAGTAAGGTAGGTAGAGTGGTAGACTGGAGACACGCCTGGGCAGTAAGAGAGAGCTGCTGCTGCTGCTGCTGCTGCTGCTGCTGCTACTGCGTGAGGTAAGGTAAGGTAAAGTAGACAGACGTTGGTAATTCGATCGGGGCTGGGAAAGACGATGGTGAGCGTATTCGTAAATATGGGCAACCGGGGTACAGAAGTGGCAGGCGCTCCCTCTTTCCCAAAGGCAAGGTAGTAGGTAGTAGGTAAAGTCTAGGTAGGTAGCCAGGCTTCAACTTCCCGTCTCTCACACACAACTCACTCAACTTGCTGCAAAGGCAAGCACGCACCTGGTGTTGGCAGTTGCGCTCCTTCCAGTTCCAGTCCAGGTCCAGTCCAGGTCTGCGGCAAGAGCAGGACAAGGCATGTGGCCGGCGGTGTTGGATTGTGGGGCCGGGAGTTGATCCTGTCTTGTCTCTCTCCACGGAGAGGTAAGGTAAGGTACCTTACACGGTGCTGCGTGCCAGTAAAGTACCTTGAGGTAAGGAAGTATAGGAGGTATCTTCGTTTTGGCCTTTTTCGATTCCTGGTATCCGTACTCCGTAAGGTGTAGTAAATTGTAAATTAGGTAGGATATCCCTGAAGCTCCGAGGGATAGAAGAAAAATAAGAAACTCCCGGTGTCAAAGGGCGTTTTCTAAATTCCCCATAGTTTTCTTACACGTCCGGCCGGCACTTGGATTTGGCTAATGTAAGGTAGGTAGGTGGTGCGATGTAGGCAAGATGTACCGTCCAACCTTTGACAAAGTACCATCCGGGATACAACAAAAGCCCATCAACAACACGAACATCAGATTCAAAAATCCATTGCCCATCCATGGATACATCCATCCCACCACACCCTCCGGCCACTCACTCCATCATACTCTGACGACACCGACGGAGCGAACGGCCGGTCCCAAGGGTCACGCAACGATGCTCCAAAGACAGCTAGCTGCTGTTTTGTGATTTGCTGACCTGCAGCTTGTCGACACTCCCATCGCAATTCCGCCCAAGCTTCCTGGTCCTTCGCCGACATGGATACCTACCTACCTATATTGCTCGACGTTGGATCGGCAGCTCTTGGGGTCACATTGAGAGAGAGGTCCTGGAGGTTCTTGGGGACAGCAACCCAGGTCACAGCTACCAGGCAGCCATATGGAATTCCCTCCGGCTTCCTGTACACACAGACTTCTGCAGGTCATGGCGGCGAGGCGAGGAGAAAGAACCCGCGTTCCGCACCGTTCGCGTTCGCCCAGGTCAGGACTGGTGTACACAGTAAGGTAATAGTCGGGAATCAAGAAAAGCATCGTGCCATCGTCTTCCGCGGATCGCCTTTCAGGAGGTCGAAGAGAAAAAAAGGGACCCGAACAATAAGGTAGGAAACACACGGCGTGATGGGCTAGGGCCGGCAGCCTGCCGACAGGGGCACGGCGCGCCGAAAAATCAATGTAAGATGAGACTTGAGAGAGATCTCATCCCACGGCTCACGTCCCACCGTTCCCTCACGTCCCAACGTCCACTTTCCACACACGGCCCAATGTCCTTTCTCACTTTAGAGATTCCCGTCGCACCAATGCCCCTTCCATAGAAACCAGCGTCAGTGATCCGTCGGCATCATCTTCGTCCAAAAAAAAAGTATGGACGACCTTTCGAAGTAAAAAGGCTGTTGGTGCGCTACCGGTACTTCTGTAGGTAATTCGTTACTTTACGTCCGTATGGCGTCGTGTTTGTGCTGTGCGGCAGTATGGAAGTCAACCCAAGTACGTGTGTGTGCGACGTGAAGGTGCTGTGCACCGGCTAGCCACCCCTTGATTGATCTTACTCAGTGCGCGTGGCAACAGTGCACTGCTCAGCTTTAAATTCACCATCCTTTTTTTTTTTTTTTTTTTTTTTTTTTTGGAGGGGGGAATAGCCTTCTTCATTTTTTGAATCTTGCACCTCACCTCACATCGCGGGACTTGGAGAGAACATGTCGCATCCCGGGGAACCTTGCCCGCCGACCCGTCGTCCTCTTCTCTCTCTCTCTTCCTTTTCTCTGCACAGTAAGGTAGACTCCTAAACTCCTAACAGTAACAGAAAGTCTATTTACCTTTTCAACCATGAGTATACTTCTTCTGCCTTCAGATCGGACCTGGCCCCGCCTTCCCTTAGTCGGGCGAGGATCCCGCCGTGGATCTCGTCGGCTTTAGGAGTTTTGCCCATTGTCCGCCAAAGTCCGTTGTCCAATCGCCTACGGAGTATACCTGGCAATGGGCATTATCCATACTCAACTCTACCATCCCCTTCCCTGTTCCCCTTTCCCTTTCCCCGTGCCATGTTTTGTAGTAACATGCTTGGATGCCACATGCCACACACCATGCCGTCGAGAACCTACTTTACCGTCAGCTTGTCGCAAAACATTAAGCTATAGAAGGGATGCGATCAACGGCAGTTCAGGGTAGCTCAGGTACATGCTTTCTTCAATAGCCGATCACCGACGCCTTGCTTTGACTGGAGGAGAGATCTGATCTGATCTCAGAACCGAGTAAGAACGAGCTACTCAGAAAAGAACGGTAGCAGCAGCAGCAGCCGGCTACGCATCGAATCGCTGCCACGCCCCAGAGATATGGATCGATAGAATGCGCGGACGGTGTTGCTCACGATCCAGAGCGTATGCAGCAGACTTGGAGATCGAGGCAAGGACCATTACATATAGACAAGTAAATGTGGCAGAGACTGTCATTTTAATGATATACGAACGGCAACTGTCCGCATGCAAGACCTGCGTTTGTAGAACTCGCAGAAAATCAACGCCGATCCCTTTTTTTTTATTTAGCACCCGTCTTCCGGGTCGCCGAGTCCCCCCGTCTAAGAAATCGCCCCAGTGCCGAGTCCGAATCCCCATCCTCTACGACATGAATACCATTGCAAGACCGAATATGCATGAACCAGCAGTAGCACCCTAGAGAATATGGCACAGAAGCCCCCCCCGACGTCGGTACGACTGGGGGAAAAAACGATGGAAAAAAACACGCCTGGGTATTGACTTTGGGTGTGTGTATGAGTTTGGTGGGTAGGTGGAGGAGGGTGAATGGAGGGTGTGGATGTGTGTGTAAGAGACGAGCCGCCTATGCCACACGGGAGAGATAGGCCTTCCAGGCCTTCCTACGGTATCTCTCAGCCTCCGATTGAGGATCACCCGCCTTCAGGATACCACGGCCGACGATAACGACATCGGTGCCGCAAAGCTCAACAAGTTTCTGCGGCGTGTTGTATTGCTGTCCCTTACCGTCACCCGCAACGGCGCCGTTCTCCTCGTCACCTTCCGGCGGCAATTGGCATCCCGGTGTCATGTGAATGAAGGAGTCTTCCGGCTCGGTGTTGAGGCTCTCCTGGGACACGAAGCCCATGACGAAGTTCTTGTTCTCCCTGGCCGCTTCGACACAAGCGTCGGTGTACTCCTTGTTCATAAAGTTGCCGGCACTGGACATCTGCGCCAGGATGAGAAGACCACGGTCCATGGGGGCCTCCTCGATTCCGGCGTACAGGACCTCGTCAGAGCTGTGAGACTCGTTTCTCGGGAACCGAGGGGAAGGCGCGGGTTCGAAGTGTTGTGTCAAGGTCGTGATGGAGACGATGCTGCCCTTGCGTCCGTTGACGTCGGATGGTCGTGGAGTGCCAATGGTATGTTCATAAGAGTCCCCATTGTTGTCCTCATCATAGTCGTCGAAACTCTCCGACCTGGGGGTTCCAACCGTAACCGACGTCTTGACCTCGTAGGGGTACCTTTCGCGCCATCTTGCGGCGGCCTCTGCAAGAGCTGTGACGGCGGCTTTGCCTGGAACCATGTTGACGTTGATGATGTGCGCCCACTCGATAATCCTTGCCGATCCAGCGACGTATTGCATCTGGACCGTGTTGCCAATGTCACCGAACTTGCGATCCTCAAAAATCAAGAACCCATGCTTGCGAGCTAGTGCGGCGAGCTTAGCGCCAGTGCCAGTTTGCGGGTTGAAGTCCCAGCCGGAAACGATATCGTGATGTGTCTTGAGGACGACAATGGACGGTCCGACCTTGTCGGCGAGGTAAAGCAACTCTCGTGCGGTGGGAACGTCGGCGCTGAGGCAGAGATTGGATGCCTTCAAGTCCATCAATCGGAGGAGGTAGGCTGTGAGCGGATGGCTGGCGGATTCGGCGCGGCCGGCGAAGGTCGCCTTCAAAGTGCCGTGAGAGGTCATCCTAGCAGATGTCTCTCGGTTCGTTAATACTATGGTCGAATGCGCGTAAGGGACGTGCTGCGGTGCGGTACCAGGTTCGTGGGATTGGTGCACTACGGCGAGGCTTCCAATTGAAGAAGGTATGTATGGCGGTGGAGAAGGCGAAGGTGCCTGTGCTGGGTTGGGTGAAGTTGAAGCCGAAGAGGGGGATGCCGAGCAAGCGGGAGGAGAGGGGGTGGATTCGGAAGTGACGAAGATGGCTGAGAGAGCGCAAACAGGGTTTTTGTATGGTGAGGTACGAGGACCACACAAGAGGGCGTTGCAATTGCTCAGATCTGGTTTGTGCCGTGCCGGGCTTGGGCTTTGACTTTCAATTGAGAGCTTGACTAGATGCAACGTGGGCGTGCCGTGACGTGAGGGAGAGACAGACGAAGACCCGACCAGAGAGTAAAAGGGAAAGGAAGCGCGAGGCGGGAGGCCAGAATAATAAAGTGACGAAACAAGGTGAGGTGGGCTGGACCTTTTTTAGTGAGGACTAGAACAGATAATGAGTTAGTGAGAAGTTGATGTGTTGTGTGTGTGGATGTGTGGATGTGTGGATGTGTGTGTGTGTGTGCAATGTGACTGTGGGGGTGCGCTTAAGAGCAGGTACGGAGCAGATAGCCCAGTCCTGCCCACGGTGAGGGAGGTACTCCGTACTCTGTCCCAGACTTCCAGTCCCAGTCTCAGGCAAAGCCGCAAGCCGCAAGCCAGGTGCTGAGAGCGGCCGACTAAAAAATTGTCGGAGGGGAACATGGGAGGAGGGAATGGGGAGGGGGGGCTTGGAGGGGGACGATGGAGGGGTTTCTCTCGTCCGTTCTGCATGTCCAGATCCCCGTCAAAAAAGGGCAAGAAGGGGGCTGGATTGGAGGGAGGGTGCAAGGTACCTCAGAGCCCAGGGGTACCACTTTTGGGGGCCGGAGCGGGAGATCCAGGAAGGAACCAACAAGAAAGAAGAAGAAAACGAAAGTGTACGGATTAAATAAAGAACACAAGAGAAAAAAGATACCATGTCATGCACAGAAGATGGAAGCAGACAGGACCGAACTCAGAGAGTACCTAAGGTAGGAAAGACATTGACGAGAATGTTTTGGTGCTATTAAGTTGGGTAGCAAGCAATATCGGAGGGACCCGAGGGATAGCGCCAGTGGAAGGAACCGAAGAAAGAGGAAGTGACAAGAGCCCATTTGATGCCCTTCTCTCTCCTCCTCCTCCTCCTCCTCCTCCTCCTCCTCTTCTTCCTCCTAATTGAGTATTTTACTTGGTTTATCTGTACAAATATTCGTACTTTACCGGGATTTCTCTAGGTACCAAGGTATCTGTAAGGCAATCTACTCCCACTATGTTCAAGTACCTTGGACCTTGGGCTTGGCGACGAATCCAATGAATCTGCATCAAAAGGCTCCTCCATCTGTAGTTTACCTCAATTTTAAAACTCCATGCCCCCTTTTCTCGCTTCTTACACCATCTTTGTCTACCCGTACACATCCCCATCCATATTGTCTCGCGGCATATCTACACCGTCATCTACCGTGGTCCATAAGGTAGCTTTGCCTCTCCCGCTAGTGTGTATAAAGTCCAGCTGCTGCATTCCTGGTGATCGGAATCGGACTGGCTAGGGACACCGCCGTTCTTGGCCGGGCTGGGACATCCCGACACATCCTTGTCGGTGTACGATACTCTGAATCGACCAAGGTAGTAAGGCACTCACTGGCAACTGCAAGACGCCTGGCCTGGTATTCAAAGGCATTAACTATACAGATGCACCATATGGTGTGGGCTAATTAGTCGATAACTGATTAGTATCCGTGTTAAGTGTCCGTAGTCCTCCTAGAACCAAAGCATGCCGACCTTCCATGTGGCATCCCGGCAACCAGACCTGTCCATGCCGCCGCCAATGCCAAACTAAGGGACTGACTTATTCTAGGCATGCGAATGATGGACTACGTCGCCGATGGCCACTTGGGCGAATGATTCAATACATAGCCGACGTCAGCTCCCATCACCTCATCTCACCAAACCAAACCGGCCCCGGAGCTTCAAGAGGCCGCTGACCATACTGCGGCAGATACATTTCACTACCAAACTATGCCCCAGAAGCCGATCCGAGTGGGAAATCATAAATAAATAAGAAGAAGAAGAAAAGAAGAAACGGGCAAAGCTCGAGCCGCGGCATCCCTCAGGCTCAACGGCAGCATGCCTGAGTCGATCCCCACAGGCAGACCGACGTGGGCGACCAGATGAGATGGGCTCGAACCCACCTTTTGCACGTTCTGGAACAGACCAGACATCCGGCAAAAGTATCTTTCTTTCCCCGATCAGACCCTGCAAATGTGACGTGTAGCCCTGTGAACAAGGGTTTTGATGATTCCTTCTATTTGTGGTGTATGTTTTTGCACGCCGATGGAACTGTCGCCGAAGACAGCAACCACCACTTGCGCAGGACCAGCGCAGCCAACACAATGGTGGTGTCGTAGAACGGAAACCATGGATGCAGTGGACGCACCAATCCCATCGCCTCGACTGCTTGACTTTGCGTTGCATTGAGCGGCAGTGCGAATTGTGTCAATCTTCCTGTCGGCCCGTTGCAAAAATATTGTTGGAAGCGCAGAGTATCCGTCTAGACTGAGATGTGATGTGGTGTGGACCAAAGGAAAGCATCCCGGTCCACGAAGACTGAACTTTGAAAGAGCAACAGTGACTTGTACATCATCGTCATTCTCTGTGCATCGCCAATGAGAGGCAGAGGCCGGTCGAGCTCAACTGTGGTGACCCGGAAGGCTGGTTGGGCTGGTTGGCTCATTGTGTGGCCGCAGCCGTCGAAATTCGCCGCCGGAAGCGGCAACGCCGTCTCATGCGGTGAGGCCGCCGCGGCCGCCTCCAGAACCACGCAACGGTGAAGGCTACGGGCCCGAAGCTGTAGGTAGGTGAGCCTGGTCAGTGGTGAGCTACTTGGGCTTCATGTATCCGTATCCATAGCTGCTTCTCTTCGGCCTATCAAGCCCAGGCGGCTGGACAATATCGTGCCATACCCCCGGGCCTTAGTCCCACCAAGTAAGGCATTCTCGTGCCATTTTTGCGAGGGAGAGACGGGAAGTCCGATGAACCAAAGAACGGTGTGTGCTTCTTCCCCGCAACCATGCTACCTTCTGCCGGGAGCCCTGGCCTCGTTCCCTTTTCAAACTTAGCCCAACGGCTTCTGCCGACGGTAGCGCAGAAACGCCGACTCATGGCCAGTCTGTCACACTGTCAAACACGTGCAGACCTGCGCAGTATCCGTAGATAGAAGTCGCCAGGTTGCGGCAAAGCTGGCCCTCAAAGATGCCTGCAAGACGTCCAAGCTCTCGGGAACGGCCTTGGCAAATCCCCGACTTGCTCGATAAATAAGGACCTCCCGCCAATCGTCCAGTCTGATGCCGAGACTATTCCGTAGACGAGCTGCATCAACTTGTGATCTGAGGGCGCGACATTTTCGGGTCCCCGCGATCGGCAACCGCCCGGCGAGGATGTTGGTCTATGGGACCATGTTTTTGGGACTCTGGTTTAAGGTCCTAGGAAAAGACCCGGCAGCATACAGTTCGTTTCTTGCGTCCACTCGGACTGACAGTGACAGCCAAGGCTCACGAGCCAACGGCTCGGACAGCATGATCGACTTGTGGCCTGTCGATCAGACCATATAGAGCCAAAGCGGAATCAAAGGCAGTGCAGAATTCGAGAGCTAGCGAGACTTCAGCAGCGGCAGACTTGTTGAGTAGTTGTTTCAGCAAATGCATACGTATGTGATGACTTGTATGCTCATTGCCGGCAACCGTATTTGTTCTTGGTGGGGTAGAATCCTTGGGCGGTACGACTGCGGGGTGCTCCTCGGAAGAAGATAACGATGGCGGGGTGGTGCAAGGCTGAGCATCGCAAGAGAAAGGACGAGAGAGAAAATATGCCTGAGACAAGTATCGATAGGGGGCCAAGTCGTGGGGTTAGGAAGTCATTGTTGGTTCAGAAGCGCCAGGTTATCTCAGGCGCACGACGTGTAAGGTAGTTGAGATAGGAAGACCCGAGACATGCAGGTGCCTGCCTGCCTGCCTGCCTGCCTGCCTGGTAGTGTTATCTTGCAGCAAGGCAGGTGCTCATCACAAGCGACTTTTGCTCTTGCACTTTGCGGGCGCATAGGGAAGGTCTGGGGTTGTCTCGCAGCTGCCATCGTCCTTGTCGTCATTATAAGGTAGGTTGTTGACGTGAAGGAAATCGACGAGGGATATGAGATTTCGATGCCTGTGTCCATCGTAAGGCACCTGCAGCCCGCCCTCACCTTGGGATGCTTGAAAGACATGGGGAAGATGTGGAAATCTAGAATGCCTAAATGACGCTTGGATGACCACTCGTGTACAGAGTAGAAGGGCATGGTGTTCTTCAGTTGCCTACATCGATAAGAGCCGTGCTAAAGTTCCAAGGTTGTATCTTTCCTTCTCTCTTATCATGCCTTGGATGTTACCTTGTGCAATGCTCAGGCTCCAACGGATAGGTAGGCCACGGCCATATGCCACATGACTGACATATGGTGCTATTGTCCATCACCCTCAAGAGAGAGGCGCTCGAACAAGAATTACAACGCAAAGTAATGCATGCTCGCTTGTGCAATTGACGTTTCTTCTTGGAGACAATATGAACGAAAGCGAAATTAGGAAGCGAGGGTCCGCATCAGCCTGTCCATCAACCAAGCTGAATTGCCTCGAGGTGTCTTATCTCTCTCTTAGCTTGTATCTTCTTATCACTGCTAGATTCAAAAGGCCGCTAACACAATACCTTGGGCTGGGTCATTTTGGGTAGGTTGAACCTACCAGAGGCTGGGGATAATTGAAACCTGCGAATAGCAGCGTGCCTGGCGGTCTTTACCAACGCAGCAAGGTAAGACAGGAACCTTAAGGTGTGCTGCCGCCTGCGTTTGTCTCCGCCTTCGAACCCTTGTCGAGAGGCAACTTGGCGAAAATGGCAACTGGAGTCGAGAGAGTGCGCCCACTGCCGATCCGGAACACCTGCGAGATACGTAAGACTGGCCAAACAGCGGTTGCTACCTACGTAAGGTAAGGTAGGTATGGTCGGGCGAGCATGGGGCGGCAGGGCAGAAGACCCGCTTGATGAAGTACCTCGCCGTAGAAACCCAGGCAAAGAGATACCTTGCCTTACGCGTCCAGATGGATTCTGTACTCCGTGCCTAGTGTGCGAATGAACAGTGGGTGGAAACTTATCCTGTGAGATCAGAATGGAAGAGAAAGGAGAAGCCAAGCAACGATAGCGTGCCGCAATCTGTCACTTTGGGACCTTGGGTCGACTTGACACCGGCTAAGCTTGCTCAAGCTGAGAAAAAGCAGTAAGCTGGCACCGCAGGCCCTTGAACAATTTCAGCCCACCACTCCGAACGTACCGTCCGATCCCACATCAGCACAGGCGTCTGCTATCTGTATCATTTACCACTGCGCTTGCTGCCTCTCGAACACTCCTCTCTGTTCCACCTCCTCTTCCACCAAACCATCCTACACGTGTCGCCTTTGTCCGTCAATCCGATCCAACCTCTTTTGCGCCTACCGACTTCCACTCCGATAGCTCATCTCCGCAAAGTTGGCTGACGATTCTGCACCCATCTCCATCCCTTGTCTTGGGCGACGAATCCTGTCACTAGGAGCCACTTATCGATCTACCGTGTAACCTCCACTGGAACACCGGCTGCCTCGGTCGCCTCATCCACGCCGTTTAAAAGCTCTTCACGCCCCATTCTTCGACTGGTCAACCTCTTCCATCTATCGAGCTACAGCCTCTAGACACCCATCACCATGTCGGTCCGACAAACGAGGCGTCAAGCCGCCCAAGCCGCCGCTGCGGAATCAGCCAAAGTTACAACCACCGGACCAGCCGACCAGATCGCGATGAATGGCAATGGCAACGGAACCTCAGTGACGGAAGCTTCGGAAGATGGCCCTAAGGAGAATATCTTCCTGTTCTGGCCCAACATCATCGGTACGTCTGTCTGGCAAGCTGTAGGCATGCTAGCACACAGCTAACAACTGTCCCGTGTCAGGCTACTCGCGCATCGTGCTCGCCATCGCCTCCCTCTACTACATGCCCCTCCACCCGCGAACCTGCTCCTTACTATACAGCGTGTCCTGTCTCCTAGACGCTCTCGATGGATACGCCGCTCGTGCCTTTGAGCAGTCCACGCGCTTCGGCGCCGTCTTGGACATGGTCACTGACAGATGCACAACCTCGTGCCTGCTGGTGTTCCTGTCCTGCGCGTTCCCTCGCTGGACCATCGTCTTCCAGATGCTCCTCTCACTTGACTTCTCGAGCCACTACATTCACATGTATACCACTCTTACCATGGCGGGTTCCGAAAGCAGCCACAAGAACGTCGACGAGAGCCGCAGCTGGATCTTGCACTTGTACTACACCAACAAGGTCTGTTACACTTTCAAGCGCTATGAACCCGACGTTTGAGCTGACCTGATACCCTATAGACTGTTCTCTTCGTCTTTTGCGCCCTGAACGAACTATTCTTCATCGCCCTCTACCTCTTGTCCTTCTCCTCGCCGCTTCTCTCGCCCTCTCTCCTCAACTCTGTCTCCAACTCAGAGGCAATGCAAATCCAGGCCGGCGCGCAGGTCAACACGTCGCTACTCAGCCAGATCTTCCCGAATCCTTACAGCGCAGCAGCTCTCGAGCTTGCGCGTGCGAATAAGATGGATTCCTTTTGGCCGTGGGTCCTTACTGCCATCAGCTTCCCCGTCATGGCTATGAAGCAGTTCATCAACATTGTGCAAATTGTCAAGGCGAGCAAATGGCTTGCTGAGGGTGATCTGGCCATGAGGAAGGCGCAGGGCTTGCCCCGGAAGAAGTCCAAGAGCACCTAAATCAGCAAGCAAGTGGCGTCGAGCGCACTTGCACCACCGGACGCTGCTTCTGGCGTCAACCCGCTTACGAAGGAGCTTGCGTTACAGAGCGCGCCTTCTCCGTTAGAACCTGGCAGGGGAAGGCAGCCGCATCATCAACGACTCTGTGTCGACGTACCGAAATGGCCACGTCACTGGCGACTGGCGAGGGCGCTGGGAAAGGAGAGAATTTAGGAGCTCGAGTGTAAGACCGTGTACTCTCTAGAAAATAGGAGCACGGCGAGGAGCAGATTCCTTTGGCATGGATTTTTAATGGCACCAGGTGCATTCACACATGTCCGGCTAGGAACGTCGAGAACAACCATGTAGGAGAGGAAGGAAACGAGAGTCTTGGCCGAGTGTCAGATTCAGGAGTCTGGAGTTTGTTGTCTTCATTATTCAATTTCTTCTACACATTAGACTAATTGGTGTTTCATCTATTCAAGAAACCGGGCCCACGAGCTCTTACAAATGTTGTCACCGAACATTTCGTCAAGGGAAATATCGCCACGCTATAGTGCTACCCCATCCTCCAACATGAATGAGTCACCATGCGGTTCTGTGACCCCTTCGCTCTGGTTAAGTAGTTTGCTTGGTCGAACCACACCTATACTCATCCACTCGATAACGTAGCGTTCGCTTTACATCTAGCAGACAAGTTCACCGTCAAGCATGACTTACACCCGACCCACCGGGTCCAGCTCCAACCATGATTGGTTCCTTCTGATGACTTCCGGCGGCGTGGTCCACCCCCGCAGCCACGGCCGGCGCCGGAGCCCTGTACCCGGACTCGGAGGGGCCGTCTGGCGTCTTTGCGAGACCGTACCACGCCACAGTCAAAACACCGAGGATGCCGGTGATACAGCTGAAGACGAGGGCGACGATGCCTCTCGAGGTGAAGCTTGGATTTTTAACTTTCCGTCAGTATTTTGCAAAAACTTTACAGCGTTGTAGTTTATCAAGATGCACTTACCCATCCGGAAGACGCGATGGCGGTGTGTTCTGTCCGCTCAGGTCCAGGTAGTCCTTGGTGTTAGCCGCGGCGTTGCCGGTTGTCGGGACGCTGCCTGCTGTGCAGACGTCCAGGTGGTTCTGAGGGATTGTGAGGTTCTTTTGGAGGTCCAGCGGTGCCTCAACAAAGGTTGCCATGAGACCGGAGGTTACGTGCCACTCGATGTGGCAATGGAACAGCCAGACGCCTGGGGTTCACAACTGTTAGAAAACGCGATGGTTACATCAAGAATAAGAAACAGTCAGATGTCGGACTGTGTACACCAACTCACCAGGATTGTTTGCTCTGAACCGCAAAACGATGTTTCCATTCGGCCAAACAACGAGGGTATCGCGACGCATCGGCGTAGCAGGGAAATCCGCCTCCGTGACATTGGCATCAGCGAACGTGCCACCATCTTCGGCGGCGCGGTACAGCGCCTGGAAGTCGTGGCCGTGCAAGTGGAAGGGGTGACGGCCCGGGTCGAGGTTGTTGACGACAATCTGGACGACCTCGTTGCGCTCGAGCACAAAGGGGTGCGTGTATGTGCCGTATACCTCGGCATTTGTCGCCGCGTCACCAGCGGAGAGAACGGTGTAGAGGGTGGGTACCTTGGGTGCCTTGTAGGTGATGTTGTTGAAGAAGGCGTAGTTTGCGCCATCGCCGAGATTGTCCATGATGACATCGAGCTCAACAGTCTGGGAGGGTTCTGGGAGGAGGGGTTGCTTGTCGTAGGGAATGAGGGTCATGTCATCAAAGGGGGCGAAAGTGTCGAGCGTCGCCGGAGGGTCTGTAGGTTTCGAGTCATCGTAGACGAGCCAGCCGGTTACGTTGTAGTTAAGGTCATCCGGGAGGGTGTCGAAGAGGGACTATTTGGTGAGCTTTGTGTGTGAGAGATACGGTTTGGAGCTAAGTGGTAACTTACAGTATCCATGCTTCCCACAATCGCAAAGTTGGACGAGGTATCATTACGAGTCGTTACGAGGAAGCTATACCGCTGAGCAGCAGAAATATAAATCATGCTTGCCTCCGCGGGCTCCGTGTAGACGCCGTCGACCTCGACAATGGAGATGTTGTGACCCTCGATCCAGACATATTGCCCAGCAAAGGCTGCCACATTGACCAGTCTGAAGAGATACGTCTTGCCGGGTTGCACAGGGACTTTAAGGTTTTGCGTGTCGTTCATGAGAGCGGCTTGCGGGACGGGCTCTGCACCCGTTGGGTTGCCCTTACTCATGAAGGGAGGAATGAGGTCGGCCATCTGGTCATGGTACCAGTCGGACAGAGATACAACGACTTCTTCATCGTATTGATCCTTGAAGGGCGAGCTTGGGTCATGGATGACGAAGACTTGTCGCAGGCCGTCGGGATATTGCGACTGAGTATGGGAGTGGTACCAGTATGTTCCCGGCTGGTTGATCTACACTCGACTGTCAGAAAACCTCTCTCATCACCTTCTCAGAGAGCAATACATGTACTTACGGTGAAGTTGTAAGTGAAAGACGACCCCGGCGGAATGGCGCACTGGCTGACTTGCGCCGGTCCGTCCATGTGGGTTGTGCCGTTCATGTAGAGGCCGTGGAAGTGGAGGGAGGTCGACTGGTTCCCCAATTGGTTATGGGCATTGATAATAATATTGTCTCCGACATTGGCATCGATGCGAGGAATCGGCCATTGGCCGTTGATTCCAATTGTCGGACGGTCGAAGGCACCGTCTGGGTTTGCCGTCACCCAGCCAATGTTGAAGTCATATGTGACTGTGGCAGCGTAGGCCGTCTGCGCGATGGCGGAGAGGAGGGCCAAAAGGCGTGTTGTACCTGTCATGTTTACTTCTTCTTTCTTCTCCTGCTTCTCTGTTTCGGTCTTCGCTATTCTGTGATGCGCAGGGGAGGATAGAATTCGCCAGGAGCAAGGCGGCGGAGAATGACAAGTCTCGCAGTGACACGAGCGGCTTCTTGTGTATCCCTTCAGACAAATTGATCCGGGGACAGACCGGATGCAAGAAGAATACACATCGTTGCAAAGAAAGGGAAACGGGCCCTCTACAAAGCTTCCGTTCGATTTGGGTCAAGTCAGTCAGTCTGGCTGACTGGCTCTCCTCTCTCTCAACTCGCTTCAAGTAAACGGCAACTTCTGGCGAGGAGGACCAATGCTTGCCACCCTGGCTGGGGTGGCCCTTCCAGTTTTCACCCCCTCCTCCCCTTGTCGCTCTTTTTCACGGCTTTTGGCACTTTGCCCAAGACATCTTATCAATCTGATCTTCCACTGGTTCCCGACACCTTTCGTTCCAGCTCCTTGGCCGGAGGGGGCGGCTGGGCACACGCTACCTCGTTAGCGCGCCATCATCTATTCAGATGTTACTTGAAAGACCACTGAGTTTTCTACACTAACACAAGCCACTCAGACCCAAAGACCTCAGGCGTCGATGAATAGTGCGAGACGATGAGTGGTAGTAGCGAGAAAACGACTGGCTCGCACGGAACTCGGCATCATTTGTCCATCATGTCTGCTATTGCAGCTTTCAGAAGTGAAGGGTGGGGAGGGGGATCTTTTTCACCTGCACAGGAGATCAACTAACCAGGGGCCCCTACAGCCGAGAAAAAGCTTGTCTCCCCGCGCTAAGGCGAACTCGGGTCTGGCCTGGCCTCGCTTCCGCCAGAAGGTGTCCCCGATGTGGGCGAGGTGGGCAAGAATGGCCTGTCAAAGAAGAGACCATGACTCCATGAGAAGTCGAGAAAGAGGGTCTCTCGACTATTTCACCTCGTCCCATTCCGTCTGTTTCCGTCGGTGCGGAAAGTGTGGAAATTGCTTGTTGGCCTTGCTGGGATTCTCGAGCGAGCTGAACAGCGAGATCTGTCATAGAAACTCAGGATGAACCGATACACGAAGTTGTTGAAGCCTCGAAGGGGTCCCTCAAGAACAAAAGACCAGGTGCGGAGTTACAGAGTATATGGAATCTTGATCGTTGAGGGTCCATTCAGGGTCATTCAACTTATCATGGTTGCCAACCCTTGGCAAGGAGTGACAAGATACCTTCGAGTTAATCTGGTCTCATGTGCCCATTCAAATTTCATGAAAGCTGGCTCCAAATCCCTCAGCCCATCAGACTTTTTTTTGGCGGCGATCGCAATGCTATCGATGGAACTCCGCCATCGCTGTCGAGGCAAACTATTTTCAAGCTGCAAGTTATCAGTAGTATTGTCACGAGTAATGAGTCCGGCCACGGGAACCAGGTGGCTCGATGGTCACTTAGCAGAGATACCAGTAGTCTAGCACATCTTTGAACCCATCTCTGGGCTTGCCGCCGGTATCCCACATCAGAATACCTCCAGCATCCGCCACATTGCTTGTTTGGCGTAGCACAAGTCAACGGCGTCGTACGTTGCCGACATATGGTTGAAGATCGACGATTGGGCGTCTCAGCGACAGTCCATTCCGTTGTATCTGTTGTCAAAGATAGAAATGATGCTGGGCTAAGAGGCAAGCCAATCTGTGTCATCCCATGTCGATCGTCAGAATCACGGGCCTTTCCTCTACACATCGACCATCAGATCAGAACAACTCGCCCACCATCCTTCCCACCCGTCAAACTCTCAAGGATCGAGCAATATCGCGAGCGCATAAGTGCCTCAAGTATCCTTGTTCGTTTGAGGCCCCCTTCTCCATCAATCCGCGCTAAGCAACGCGAGCCAGCCCCAGGGATGCAGCTCTCTCTGCCATGCATGCTTTATCCCCAACACCGTAACACGAAACGAGAAACAGGAAGCTCCCCTTCCAAAATGTACTAAAACCGACTAGAAAAGCTTGTCGTGGAGGAAAATGGTCCGGTCTGCATGCAACAATGAGACCTCGGCGCTGGTCTAATTGGCCCTACGCCTGGAACCGGGTTTTGGAGCTTGCACCACCTTCGTCCCACGTCTCCCTCCTCTCGCCTTCGCGCCCTCGCGTCAACCTTCCCTCGGACTACAGTCGGTCGAGAGCAGATGTTCCGCCCTATTCATAAATCCATGATTGATTGATTGATTAACTGCTACCGTAGGAGAAAAGGTCGGCTGATTATCAAGATATGCCTGCCCTCTCTTATTTGCCCTGGGCGAACTTGGGCTAGCGTTCCGCCTTTCGGCTCGTCGTATCCGTTGCCACAAGACCAACCAGTACCGGCACCCTCATCGGCTAGTCCCAGCGATTATCTGATTTGATTTTATCAGATTAATCTGTGCTTGTGTTGCCCGTCTCCCCTTCTCCACGCTTACCAGACAAAAGTCTGTTTTCCTCTTCTTCCTTCTTTCGTTGCTCGGAATCTGTGACCAAGACAAACGACAAACACCTTTCTCACAGGTGCCAAAAATGACCGTCGACGTGTTTTCAGTACCAGTATTTCTGGTCGTCTTTCGAGA